TTTACAGAAGAGGAAACTAAGGCACAGAAAAGTTAAATAAACTGCCCGATCACATATTCAGCAAGGGAGCAGAGCAGAATTCAAACCCAGTGTATCCTTCCCTGAATCATAAACATCATGGCATGGTGCCTTCTAAAAGACTTACAGTAGGGTGTAGAAGTCAAGGTTTCAGATATTCTTTCCATGGAGAGTCAGAATCATGCAATTTGGGGATAGAGCATTCTGTCAGATTCACCATGCTATTCCTCTCAATTAATAGTTGCCTCTGCAGCCAAGCACTAGGAGGCACAGAAGAGAGGAACAATGAATGGCAATTTTAGTTGACAGTCAGTCATGATAAGTGTCGGAGACAATTCTCTGCGGGTCCCTCGTGTTTCTGCACATCTTGTGAGCAGAGGCACTTACTGCTTTTGTTTTGAAGAGTCTTTTCAAGGATGTTTGCACAGTGAGTAGCCTTAGAAGATACAGCGTCTCTCTTCAGAGCAAAGGATCAGGCATGAATTCGGTCCATTGTGAGAGTTGGCTTCCTTAAGCTTGGGTTTCCTCCCCTCCACTTGCATGAGCAGATGTCATGTGGCTCTCTTTGTTCTCCTTGTGGGGAACCAATACATATGCTATCTTGTAAGTAACAAATTGCCCTTTGCCTCTAATCAATTGTCCTTAGCTTCTTGTCTTCAAAATAGGATAAAAATCTCAGATCTTCCAGTTCTTGACAATGAAGTTCAAATTTCTGTTTTCTTCTAAGTGCAGTGAATCTTACTATTCAGATAGTCTGAATTTTCTGCACATCACTTGAATCCAGAAGGAAGAGAAGTGTTTTCAAAGACAGTAGAAATTAATACACATAGCCGGGTTCGGTGGCTCAGTCTGTAATCCCGCGCCTTTGGGAGGCTGAGGTGAGTGGATTGCCTGAGCCCGCGGGTTTGAGACCCACCTGGGCAGTAAGACCTCATCTCTACAATAAATAATAATTTTTTAAAAATCAGCCGGGCATGGTAGCGCATGCCTGTAATTCTGGCTACTTGGAAGGCTGAGGCGGCAAGATCGCCGGAGCCCAGCGGGTCGAGGCTGCGGTGGCCGGGAGCAGCCACTGCACTCCAGTCTGGGCGACAGAGTGAGACTCCAACTCAAAAAAAAAAAAAAAAAAAAAAGAAATTAATACACTTGAAGACAAATAATCATTTACTCAGAATTTAAGCTAATTCTGAAATTCAAGATTTAGTCACAGTTCCAAATCTTTACGCCACATCCCCCAAATTAGATTTCAATACCGTAAAATGTCAAGAAATATATAGTTTTAAATATTTAAGAAACATTAACATCCCTTGGTTTAATAAAAAAAATTAAGTAACCATAGAGCACTGTGAGGAAATGGCATTAAGGATAAATCTGTGGACACTCCACAGCATTGGAATGCCCAGATTTACCTGAAATGTGAAATCATAATTCTGAATAAAAGAAAAACAAAAAAATTACTTATCAAGGTCAAAAAAATAAAGTGTATTTGGTTTCCCTAAGTGAGGAGTAAAGCCAGATTCTTGTGCTGGGGAAAAAATACTAGGCTCAAACTCAGGATACGTGAGATAATTTTATAACTGTGATGTACAAAATAGTCTTTAGGTCTTGGTATTTTTCAAACATAAAATCAAGGGCATGAAATGCACCATCTCAAAGATCACATCTAACATGAAAGTTAATAGAACTATAGACTCTCAGAAGTAGTAGGAAGCCTAGTAGTGATGTAGTAAACACATTGGAAGTTTGAATTGTTTTTGTAGCATAAACTCATTTCTAGAGACAGCATTCCATTCCAAAGCAGCCTGTTTTACCGCCAAGCATCTCTCAATGGTAGTATCTTTATATTAATGCTTAAACAACAAATAAACTGTTAACTTTTATCAATGATCCTGGCCTAATTTCTGGGCCATAAACAAGAATAATCTTTATTTTCCATGCTAGAATATTAGTTGTTTGAAGGAGGTAATCATATTATGAACCACTCTTCTTTTTCAATATATTAATCCCTGGTTCTTATAAATTTGTGAGTTTCAGTTCCTTTGCAATTTTGGTTGGCCTTTTTAAAATGTGAGCTGTTAGCCGGGCTCGGTGGCTAAGCCTGTAATCTTGCGCCTTGGGAGGCTGAGGTGATTGGATTGCCCAAGTCCGCGGGTTCGAGACCCGCCTGGGCAACTTGGGGAGACCTCATCTCTATAATAAAATAAAATAAAAAATTAACCGGGCATGGTAGCGCGCTCCTGTAGTTCCAGCTACTTGGAAAGTTGAGGCAGAAGGATCGCCGGAGCCCAACAAGTCGAGGCTGCAGTGGCCGGGAGTGGCCACTGTACTCCAGTCTGAGCGACAGAGTGAGACATAAAATAAATAAATCAATAAATAAAATGTGAGCTGTTTCATGCACGACTGTATACATTAGGCATCACAAACAGAATTCTGCCTATTCCACCTCTTGAGATATTTTGCTGGAGGTGGAGGGACTCTCATCAGAACCTGATTCCTAGGGCCTGGGGATCCCACCCAGAATGGTTAGGGGTGGGGGAGTGCTGTAGGCAGGGTGGGGCTTTACAGCAGGACTGGCTGTGCCTGGGGTGGGATTTTAAGGTCTAAACTCAACATGACAGGAAAGCTATTTGTACTAACTAAATTCTATCCAAGCAAGTTGTGATATCCTGAAGGTCACAGGAGAGAAGGGCAGTTTATCCAATGGAAGTATTGTTGCTTTTCAGGTGAGAATCAAAGAAACAATCAGGGTCACTCAAAGCGCATCGTAGCAGGGGCAGGCCTCCCTAGTCTAATAATTGCTTTTTAAGATTACACTAGTGACTTTCAACTATTACAGGAGAAAGATGGCCAAGAGTAATCATAAATCCTAAAAATAATTAGAAGAGTACAATGTTACATAAGCCATGGTAAGAAGGTAGCAATGAATGAAGCTTCCTTGATTTAACAGATTTGTACATATAAAATTGGTGATAGTTAAATTCAGACTGTGAAGGTTTAAGAAATCGAGGTTGGTAAGGAAGAAAGCAAGTCTTAGCCAGTTGCTGTTTGAGATTGTACAGCAATTAGAAAAAAAAATTAAGTGATAGTTTTATTCATTTTTCCTTTTAGAAAAGGACTGAAAGACCTGATAATCTATAGATAACTAGGAGGAACACAGTTAACATTAGTCTACTATACATTTCAAAACAGCTAGAAGAGAACAATCTGAATGCTTCTAGCATAAAGACAAGATAAATATCTGAGGTGATGGATATCTCAATTCCCCTGATTTGATTATATGAATGTATCAAATTATCACATTACCCCCAAAATATTTGCATCAACTGTATTATGTATTAATAAAAAGATGTAAATAAACCCAAATAAATAAGATAGAGACAGCCTAGATTTGGGCAATAATTTTTCTAAGTGCAAAATATAGCTAATAAGGGTTATCTGAAATTTCTTCAGAAATATTAAAATGGGGCTTTGGATTTTAATCTGAGATACGAACACTACTATATTATAATTGATAACATAAGGCTTAAGAAACAGTTCATTTCAGAAGCATGTTAATTTATGAAGTTACTAAAAGTGTTTTTATATCAGATAAAAGTCAAACATTGAGGGGCACAATTGTATAAGAAGTCTATGATTTACTGTCCTCAACACATACTTAAATCACAGATTGCCCTTATCTAACATAGTTATAATACTTACTGTAAGTGATCATTTCCTTTCATGAGCCAGAAAAAACTTACACTAAAACATATTATTCATACTTGGTGATTATTTTATTACCATATATTATTGTATACAATTTTGTTCGATAATAGGGATATTATAAGTCATACCTTAAACAAAAATCTAGGCATGGCATATAGAAGCAGTAACATTTTGAAGAAAAGAGAAAAGTCATGATAGCATTTACCTATAATTCAGTAATACTGAAAAACACTAATTTGTGCATAGTGATGACTGAAAGCTTCACAGTACACTGGAATGCTGGTAAATCTTCAGGGACTGTAAGAACAAGCTTGTATAGGAAAAGACCAAATGAGACACATCCACATCCTTAGATGTGCACATCATCTAAAACTAAATCCCTTAGTAGAGCAGTACACTAGCATTCTTCCTTGGTTTGGCACTTAGCAATACAAACAAAAGTGTATTTGGTTTAATGTGATTTTATTATTCTTAGATAAATTTTAGTTACTTTATATAGATAAAAATATACAATATTGCTTTAAAAACTTTTAGTTTTATAAGTGTATAATTGATTGTCATCATATTCACAATTTAAAAAGCCTATTTTTCCACTAAACAACTCACCCAATAACTTGTGGAAGAAACTAACAAAAATGGTTTATATGAAGACTTGTAAAGAAAGATTTAAATGTAAAAACAGAATATTAATCCAGACCACTGGTATAAATCCTTAATGATACCTAATGGTGGAAACGTATTATGAAATGTTTTAGACAAAATGTTTTCAACACTTGATTCTACAGATTCAAAATTTTGACTGAAAATACATAGAACTGAATATATTTTGTCTGAAGCCACTTTTATATACATTAATTTACTAAAAAAAAGAAATGAAAAATGTTTTACTTCTACATCTCAATTTGGGATTCTGTCAGATTTCAAAGAAATATATATGCAAAATATGTATATGCCCTTCAGATGTCATATTTATTTTTATTTTTATTTTTGAGTTGGAGTCTCACTCTGTCACCCAGACTGGAGTGCAGTGGCCGCTCCTGGCCACCGCAGCCTCGACCTGCTGGGCTCCAGCAATCCTTCCGCCTCAGCCTTCCAAGTAGCTGGAACTACAGGTGCGTGCTACCTCGCCCGGCTAATTGAGATGTCATATTTAAATAAAAGAATGGAAGACAGTGATATTTACAAAAATGAATCATTTCAAGACAGTAGCGTTGGTAGGGTGATAAATTCACCTAACTGGTAATAAAGGCCATTATATCATCAAAAACAACCTAATGTTTGAAGGTAAATGAACTGTGTGGTTGTCTTTTACTTAGTACAAACTTAGAGCAGTTTGAGTCACTATATGATTTTTTAGAAAGACATACTGATAAAATATGTAAAAGTCAAACAAATTATTTAAGTGCATATATAAAGTATGGGCTATTTTAAAATGAACAATCGAAAATATTTTACAAATAATTTTGTTCGTTATATCTATACAATGCACCATTCATTTTACGCATTACAATACTTTACACCAAACATTGCTATCTTCAATCTTAACACTCCTCAAATATGAGAAAAACAAAGTTTCCACTGTTCTAAGAAGTGAAATTTATAAAGTCAACACAATATATCATAAAGGATTATAGATCTAAAAGTTTTTAAAGACAATTTATACACATTGAAAAGGGTGCTCTGCTTAATTTAATTAAAAAGCTAGAAATAAAGCTGCTTCTCTTCATTGCAACTTAATAAACATGGTTGCATTTAACAGCAGATTTTTCACACTGCAACATTCAACTATCATTGTGGAGATTTCAATAAAGGTAAACAGTGATACTTCTTTTTCTTCTGAAAACACTGCTGAAATTTAAGTGCTACTGTTTTAATATTTTTATAATAATTAAGAAATAATTTGGAAAGACATTTTACTTTCAAAAATTTTGAAAATAAGGCACATAGCAACGTTAAACTCCAGAAGCAACTATGTAATAAATAATTATCTTTTCAATCATTATTTGCCCTTTCCCTGAAAAAAGTGGGTGAGTAGTGCAGTTAAAACATGCCTGAATTCATAAAAACGATTGGATTTAGGAAATACAAATAATATTTGTGCACAGAATGTTATTACTTTTAAAAAGAAAAAGAATATTTTATATAACATATACATCCTACAGTGTTATAGGAAGAAAAAAATGTGAGGCACTTAGAGTAACAGTGAGGGAGGAAAGCACTGAGATTATCTTTGTACAAAAAGCACCAAACCATTTAGTTTAACTCTGAGATAAAAGCAGAGGCTAAAATGATAGGAAAAGAGTTTAGTTTTGTAAATTTGTATCTGGTGAACTAATAAGAATCCAGAAGTTCAAAATGCAAAGTATTTCACTCTTATTCTGACAGAAATAATTCAAATAGAGAATGTTTTCTTATTTAAAAGAGTCTTAAAGTTCCCTGAATGAGCTTTGCATATTTTGTGGTGCTCAGAAGCAAATGGAGATTATCGCCTTACTCTGTGGCTGCACACTTTCTATCATAATGACTATAGTAATATGCAATTTTGATATTATTTCTTAAATTCCTTTTCTAAAAACAAAAATTAAGATATGGTTTGGAATAACAATGTGAAGAACATGCATCAATGCCTCCATATGAACTTGCTGGCATCCAACTCTGATAGTTTTATTACTCCATAATCCTTCACGAACCAGTTTAATCCAAAAACCAGGGTCAAAATTGCGCTTGGAATTACAGGAATCCACTGGATGTCAAATCTGGAAAAGGTCTGGCTTCTGATGGATGATGAAGTGGCTGAAGGTGTGTGGCAGTCTGACTACTATTTATGCTATTTAATTCTGCTGGATATGTCTCATTTAAAACTCCTCCATTCTGAAACTGAAAACAAAACAGCAATGCAAATTATTAGGCAGATCTTTCAAATATCTTAAGCCATTAAATAACATAATAATATGTATTTTAAAAATCTAAGTCCTGCATGTTTTAAACTTCAAATTCCTTTATTGCTGCTAAGTTTTAAATTGTTCACTTTATGAAGACACACTGAGTACCTATTATGTATTAGATGCATTTCTAACCTTTTGGTTTTTCCATTAATTTGACAAGAAATTTTGAAAATGGTACATGTGAGGAATACAAATGTCTTCCCACAGACTGCCTTTGGATAAGTATGAATTGGTGAGCCAACAAGCCACAGTCATGAATTACAGTTAAATATTTGCAGTCTTAAGTAGGTTTGCTTTGACCAGACTTCATCTCAGTCAAGTACTAAGAATATTTGGGAATACTACATTGGATTGCAAACGACCTAAAAATGCCAATTCCCACAGAAATGCCAATTCTGATTTTCTACAGGTTTCTTAATATTCCTAAAATATTACAACATAGGTATGATTTTCTTAACCAATTTCTTTTTTATAACATAGTTTTAATTAATGAATACTATTGAAAGCAGTGCCCTAATTACAGAATCAAGTTGCCAAAAGCAAATGCTCCTTCTTGTCTTCTTACACTGACATTAGTCTGGTTTCTATAATTCCACTAGAAAAAAAAAAACAGATTTAAAAGAAAAACGATGAGATATTTTACATTCTTTGTTTTTTCAAGCTGTCTTTAAAATCCCATGTGTATTTCACACAAACAGCACATCTCAATTTGGACTAGCCAAGTTTCAACTGCTCAATAGTCACAGGTAACTAGTGTCTCCCTGGGGGATATGTAGGTCTACAGAATTTTTTGATTATTCACAAAGAAGCAATACAAAGTGGTGTAGGGAAAACACTGTAACGAACTCATGTGGCACTCATATTTACAAAATGTAACTTTACATAATTAACTTCTGTACAACTTGCTTTACTCAAGAGTAAAATATGCTTACATCACAGCAATGTTGTGGGATCAACTGTAATGAAATCTTATTCCATTTTAACATAACCGGATGATGTAAAGAATAAGAAAAACTTTCCATCATTTTCTATTAAAAAGCTCATATAGAATCAGACAAACCAAATATATGAAAAAGCCAGAGAAAAAAATTAAAGATAATGATTCAAAACATGTTAAAATTACTATAATACACAGTAAACAAAGCCAATGAACTTAATTTAGTCAAGATATTCTTCAAACTAGGCTTAAATATACTTTAAAGTGAACTAAATACGTTCTAATGGGAAAGCATAAATGCAAACATGATACACTCCTGGGCAGCCAGAGAGAGCAGCTATTAACATAGTAACTTTTTTTTTTTTTTTTTAAGAAATCATTTTTATATCTAGCTAACCCTGTGCTCATTGTTAGAAAGGTTCTGATGTCACATTTAAACAACAAAAATATAGTATCAAGCTTGACTCCCATGACAAAAAGCCAGCTGAGCTACCCTTTATGATGAATGCCAGAGACACAGAAACAAAGCTATTCTACCTTACAGGACAAACTGAAGATCTGGCAGATGACATAAAAGAACAGCGAGAGAATATAGGAACCTAAGACTGAATGGATTCCAGGGATAATCCAGGGCAACGGCACCCTAAGACAGCATACTTACATTTTATTTTAACCCAATTTCAAACGTACATTAAAACTTAGATACCATTTGATCCAGCGATCTCACTACTTGGTACCTACCCAATGGAACAGAAGTCGTTATACAAAAAGACACCTGCACTTTTATGTTTACTGCACCACAATTCACAATTGCAAAGACATGGGATCAACCTAAATGCCCATCAACTAATTAGTGGATAATGCAAATAGGATACACACCCCATGAAATACTATTCAGCTATAAAAAAGATGAAATGTCTTTTGCAGCAACTTGGATGGAACTAGAAACCATCATCCTAAGTGAAATAACACAGGAATGGAAATCAAATGTCACAGGCTCTCACTTATAAGTGGGAGCTAAACTAAGGAACTGCAAAAGCATATAGAATAGCATAACAGACGCTAAAGACTCAGAAAGGGGAGAGTGGATAGGGGGAAGGGATGAAAAATGGCCTGTTGGGTACAATGTGCACAGGTGGGAGTGGAGGGTACACTTAAAGTCCAGACTTCTTAGCCACTATACAATGCATCAATGTAGTCAAGAATTATTTGTATCTCCTAAAGCTACTGAAATTTAAAAAATAAAATGAAACTAAACTCTGAAGAAATTATTCTTAAAAATTCAAAAATATTTTTAAAGTTTGAGTTTTTAAAAGGTCAGATAATTTTTTTTAACCAAGAAAGATAAATCAAATTCTCTATTTATTTTTTTAGTTAGAGTCTCACTCAAAAGACTCTCATGGTCACCGCAACCTTGACCTGCTGGGCTCAGGTGATCCTTTTGCCTCAGCCTTCCAAGGAGCTGGAACCACAGGTATGTGCCACCACACCCAGCTCATTTTTTTATTTATTGTACAGACAAGGTTTCGCCAAGTTGCCCAGGCTGGTCTCAAACCCCTGGACTCAGGCAATCCTCTCGCCTCCGCCTCCCAAACAAATTCTAACTAATTTTACCTGGTTATTTAGCTCATCTTATATTAAGGACATATTCATGTTGTTTTAGCCCTGGCTTTCTTTCTCCTTCATAATCCAGGTAAATGATAAATTAGTAACATACTGGGAATAGTACAGGCTTATAAAAGTGGTCACAGATAGAATGAAAAATGTCTCCATGAATGTTACAGATAATCGATTAATATCAGCTACTGACATAAAACACTTATAACTCATATCTGCTTCTAGAAGGCAAGAAGAAACACTTACTGAAAGGATTTTTTTGTTTGGTAAAACCCTCACCTTGTTTAAAAATGCCTGTTGGCCTGGAAGTATCGGGTTGTACTGCATCTGATCCACATGGGTGTGCTGAGGCTCTGGCTGGCACTGGTACATCGACATGGCTCCGGCATAACATGTCTGAGGAGTTACTACAGTTGATGGTGGATTCAGTCCAAGCTTTTGATGTTCAGAAACTTGTAAACAAGTGACAAAATCTTCTAAGCTAGCAGTGGTAGTGGGATATGGGGATGGTTCAAAACTCCCCATAGGAAAGTCCAACTCTGTACATTTGGAATGCTGTGGTAACACAGACTGATTACAGGAAACAAAGTTCTGTGAATAAGGCATGGTATCAACCTCAGATTTGCAGGGAAATTCCTGATTGGTCCCATGGAAGTCTGAAAAGACATGATACTGCTGGAGTTCTTGCTGAGGGCAACTGAAAGGCACGGGTTGGCGAGTGTTCCAATTTGCAAACATGCCATTAACTTGCATATGCTTCATTTTCTGACATAGCTGTTGCTGTGGCTCCACTACTACTTGCTTCTGGTGATGCTGTAGCTGCTGTTGCTGTTCTAGCTGAAGGTGCTCCTGTACCATACAGCTTGAGTTCAGAGCCAAGGGCTGTTGCTGCTGGTGACCTGAACACATGAAGGTAGACTTATTTAAAGAATCTTGGATGTAGGTCAGGATTTCATCTGTTAAGTCAATGTCTCGGAAGTCAACTTCACCAGAGAAATCATTTCTAAAAAATTTTTCATTCTGCATATTTTTTATATCTTCAAAATCAATGCCTAGGTTTTTCATAATGCTGTACAAGTCACTATTTTTATTATCGTGAAAGAGCCCTGGGTAACTTCCAGAAAATGGCGGGTTCATTTCCTGAGACAGATTGATCTGCTCATGTTTCAGGATACTGTCATTTCCAACTGATGCAATACTGTCTTGCCAATTACCACACTCATTTGTAGATTCATTAAAAAAATTTTTTTCAAAAGGTACAGAACTTGAAGTACTCGAAGCAGTATAGAGATAAATAGATTCATCTTGTTGCATCATGGCAGCAAGGAGGGAATTGGGATTGAGGGCATCGTTGTTTAGCGTTGATCTGGTGGCAGAGTCTTTTCCACTAGTGCCGTTTTTAGTCCTGACTGGTAAGGGATCCATGATAGCAGGAAAAGGGTTGGTTACCTCATACAACACTGCTTCTCCAGTGGTAAACATAAAAGGCAGCTTCATGTTTCGTTTTCGTAAATGCTCTGTTCCTTCTTCATCTCTAAAATTGTATATGAGAAAGTGTGAATATATTAGGAAAATTTCTATCATAACAAACATTTTAAAATAAAATAATAATAAAAAATAGCAAACAAAATACACTTTAATTAAATTTGATAGCAGAGAACAGACTGTTTTATTTTGACCTAAATTATTCTCATGACTGGTGCCATAGAATTGTTTTTCAGACAAACATATTTAAATGATTTATATTTTTTTCCTGAAACTTAGGACAGTAGTTAATTCCATAGACAGGTTAAGTCCCTACCTGATATCCTGTAAAAAATATATTTGTGTGGGATAAAGATCTAAATATAAAAACAAACTACAAAAATTTAGAAGAGGTATATCTAAATAAAACATAAGACCCAGAAGCTATAAAGATTGGCATAATAAAATTAAAATTTGTATACTTTTACAAAACGATTCATAAATCATGCTAACACATAAAGAGAATATTTGTAATATGTATCTGCAATTTAATATATATAAAATTTCATATCCATAGTAGGTATAGTGGTCTGTTGAGTCTAAGATAGAGGCAAACAACCAAATAGAAAAACAGGCAAGCAATACAAACTGGCAATTAAAAAAAAAAAAGGTCCTAGAAAGATATAAAGAGATGCCCTGCCTCATTAGTACTAAGTAAATGAAAACAAATAACCTCTCTTAGTAACTAATTGAACCAGCACACAAAATATCAACAAATGTATAGAAATATAAACAACACAATTAACAAGCTAGATCACTGATATAGAAAGAACACTGTAATCCTAAACTACAGAACATGTGTTCTTTAAAGACCATATAGAATACTTTACCAACATTGACCATATATTAGATCATAAAATAAGTCAACATAAATTTCAAAGGACTAAAGTTTCTCTGACTACAATTAGAATCAAGCTAAAAGTCAGCTACAAAAAGATAGCTAGAAAAATTTCCAAACATCAGAAAGTACAGTAACACTATATTTCTAAATAATCCATGAATAAAAATGAAATCAAAAAGAAAATTAGCAAATATTTCCAACTGAATTAAAAAAACAAAATATATCAAAACACAAATGTTATAGTTAAAGCTGTACTTAAAGAGAAACTGATATACAGAGGGTGCCAAAAAAAATATACATTTTAAGAAAGGAAAAAATTGTAGCAAAATTATAGTACTCAATGTACACCTGCCTGTTACATGGTGATGCTAGCATTTGAGTGAATGTCATACTACACATTACTATCATAATTCACCTTTGAAAGTAATACATAGGTAACATTGTTTAAAGTGTGTATACATGTTTTGTCATTCCCAGTATATGTTTAAATATATATTAAAACAGAAAAAGTTGAAAAAATTGCCAATTATACTCAAAGAAAGTAGAAAATAATACTTGGCAGTCATAAATAAAATGGAAAACAGAAAAAAATCAATAAACCAAAGGTCGAATCCTTGTAGAGACTAATAAAATTGATGGCCTAGCAATACTGGTCAAGGAGGAAGGCATAAATTTGTAGGCATACATGCATACCCATGTTCATGGGTTGGAAGACTTGGTATAAAAAAGATGTTAATTCTCTAAACTTATAAGCAGAACCAAACACTTATCATAATACTATAAGAAAGGGATTGGCAGTAGAGGGACACTGCCAGGGGAGGGAGCACATAACATCAATAAGGGTACCCAATCTTTTTTTTTTTTTTGAGTTGGAGTCTCACTCTGTCACCCAGACTGGAGTGCAGTGGCCGCTCCCGGCCACCGCAGCCTCGACCTGCTGGGCTCTGGCGATCCTTCCTCCTCAGCTTTCCGAGTAGCCAGAATTACAGGTGCGCGCTACCACGCCCGGCTAATTTTTTGATTTATTGTAGAGATGAGGTCTCGCCAAGTTGTCCAGGTGGGTCTCGAACCCGCGGGCTCAGGCAATTCACTCACCTCAGCTTCCCAAAGCGCGGGATTACGGGCTGAGCCACAGAGCCTGGCTAAGGGTACCCAATCTTACACCAGGAGAAGTGGGCCAAAGGAAGGTCCAAATTTTACCTGTATGATGACCACTTCTATACTTAACCCTGAATTGTACCCCATATCTTTAAAATAAAATTTAAAAAAATTAAAAAAAGAATGTTAATTCTCCCTAAATGATCTACAGTTTCAATATATTCCCATTTGAAATCCCAAAAGATTTTCTGGTGGAAATTGACACATGATTTTTAAAATGTACAGAAGTCTAAAGGTAAAGAAGAGCCCAGGCAATCTTGAAGGAGAACAACAACAAAACACCTAAACAAACAAAATAAAGACACATTCAGATATCACAACGTATAATAAAGACAGAGTGAATAAGATAATGTAATGTTGGTGCAAAACAGACAACTACACTAACAGAGCTAGAACAACAGAGTTCAGAGACAGACTCACAGACAAATCCCATGATCAAAATGCAGTACAGCAGGGAAAATATGACCTTTCAATAAAGGGATATATATAAATGAGAGGGAAAAAAAAAGTAGGGAAAAAATTCCTACTTCAAGCCACATACAAAAATCAATTCTCCAGAGTGGGAGAAATCATTTGCAATATAAATAGTTGACTCGTTTCCAGAATATATAAGAAACTCTTACAAATCACTGCTGTGTTTAGAGAACATATTCTAAACAAAGCATTGTTATATTTTTCTTTTATTTTACTGATGACACTAGCTGTTTATCTGTCCTTCACATGCCCAGGACAAAAACCTAGAGTTTTCTTTGAGTATTCTCTTTCTGTAGCGTCACGCATTTAGCTACACAGTAAAGGTTGTCAATTTTATCTTATCAATGTCTCTCACCTGTGTCCTCTTCTAGTCATATTTTCTTAAACGTTTCAATTTTTTGAAAAGTTTTTCAATTTCATTTCTACACCAAATTCTCTCAGAATTATTTTTATGTTTCCATTGTAAAAGGAATTATATACAAAACTGCTATTAAAATAGAAAATGAAAATAGGAAACAGTCTAAAAAATTTTTGTGCTTACGTTAGTGGTCTCTGAGTTGCAATGATATAATCTGGTCTTCCATTTTTATAAACTAAGCGGGCATTAGACTGGACCCATGTCCACCGATTGTTTTTCGTCAGAAGTCTGAAAACTATCATGCCACTTTCTCCAGTCTTAATCACTAAAATAAAAAAAAAAATTAAATTATAAAACTCCAAATCAATATATTAAGGAAAATCCCTGAAACAAAGCCAGTCTGATATATTTCTGGATATATTTTCTTAACATAAATATTCTGATGATTTTTTAAACACAGTATATTAAAAGGCATGGAAATAGTTTTTCAGAGTTGATTTTTCCTATTTCAGACTAAATGTATTATTTAAAATGTTAAAGGGAAGATTAAGTACCAGTCAGATGATTCTAGTAACATAGAAAAGTACAGAGAGAATAAATTGGGAAAAAAGGTGATAAAAATTGTTTTCATTTTAAATAGGGAATATTTTTCTACAGCCTAATATTTTATAAATTTAAAGTTTCACTCTATATTGACATAGATTTATGAATAGATAATGATGGTCACTGAAAAATTTCTGAGCAAAATTTCATAGACCCAAAAGGTCATTTTTGTAGTAATTAAACTACAATATTTCTGTGTGGCAACTATTGAGAAGTTACTGAATAAAGAGTGTAACTCTAGTGAATCATAATGATATGCTACTAAGTAGAAGTTTATCCAAATAGTTTACTCAAATACAGTACATTATGTAATAATTTGAAACATGTACTAGTGTGAATGCTGTTGTTTCTGACATGTCCATAAGGTACTGCAACTTACTCCGGACGTGGGACTCAGCACAATACAGCATGTCACCAGCGTGAACAAACTGATATCCTGACCCTCTAGTGCACAGCTCTGCTTCAGTATATCCCAAAACAATTCTTCCTCTGTTTAAAAAAGGTAAAATAAGAATTTATCATTATTTAGCAATAAGTGAACTAACCAGGAGAAATTCATTGGTTACATGCTATTTTCTGCAATATGTTTGAGTTGACATTTAGAATTTCACATCAATAAGTAGGAAAATTAAGCAAATCTATGTAAACTGCTCTCTTTGGCTTATTGCTGCAATATTTTCTTCTCCAGAATAAAATCATGAAAATTGGTATGGCAAAGAAAAATCTAACAGAGCAGAGTACAGGTAAAATAATACCTTTAATAAAAATCTAGAATATTTACATTTCATTTTGGGAGAACAAGGCTCTCCAAATTACCTCTTTGCATTCCTACATTAGGAAGGAGAAAAGCATAATATGTTTTGATATGATATAAATGCTTAAAATCAGACTCTTTATATAAAATTTCCTTGATGTTGCTAAACTCCTAGCACCTTAAATGTAAAGCAAACCAACTGGGTCATCAGAAGAATGAACTTTACTAATATATAAAAACATCATCTTTTTGTGGCAAGTATTATAAAAAAATTACAAAGTAATAAGATTATTTATGAGCCTGATGAAATTATTTTACTTTAAAAGGCTATTCTAAAAGAATATGAAATAATAATAGTTAATCTAACACAACAATATTACAATCTACATTGTATGTTTCACAGGCTCAGAGAGACTCACTGAAACAAATTACACATGTGATGAAATAAAAATGAAAGAGTCTCACTTACTTGGCATCACAACTAGTAGGTGTAAAGTCTAGTTTGTGTTTGGTTCTAAAGATGAAGTTTTTGGTCCGGATTTCAAGGATGGATGGAAGCTGCAGTGGTGTAGCTATTGCAAACAATGCCAACTGAGGTGAAAGTATTGACTCATCTTTCCCTTTCTTTTTCTGTCCATGAAGATACTTTAATCTGCCTTGGAAATTCATTGCCTTAAAAAAGAAAAACAAAAAAAGTTCATTAAAATTAAAAGTGTAAAAGTTCCTTTAAAAAAGCCTATGCATCATGGTATATTCCATAGTTCATGACAGTCTTTCCTATGGAGACAAAATGTAATTTTATTAAAACATTAAAATGAACTCATTATGAAGTCATAAAGACTGAAGAGCTCTATTAAAGGAAAGATGAAGAATTTTAGAAAACAGGGAAAACAGACAAGTTAAATATAATCACAATCAATTTAGTTGGTTAAAACAATTTGTGAACCAGTCCAAGGGATGATTCTGACATCAATCTGACAGCACAAGGAAGAAAAGACCCCACTGCAAATGGATATTCTATCAAAGACATACAATCATACATTGCTTATTGAAGGCGACACATTCTGAGAAAGGCATCAATGAGCAATTCTTACACTGTGGGAATATCAGAGAGCGTACTTACACAGACCTAGACAGTATAGTATACCCAATACTTAAGCTATATAGTATAGCCTATGGCTCCTAAGCTACAAATCTGTACAGTATGCTATTATACTGAATACTGTAGACACTTTTAACACAATGGTAAATACCTGTGTACTATTTAAACATAGAAAAGGTACAGGATAAAAGATAAAAAGTGGTCCAGGGCACCTGTGTAGGACATTTACCATGAATAGAGCCTGCAGGACTAGAAATTGCTCTGGGTGAGTCAGTGAGTGAGGGAGTGGTGAGTGAATGTGAGGGCCTAGGGTGTGACTGTACACTACTGTAGATTTTGTAGATACTACATATATACACTTAGGCTACACTGAATTTACAAAAATAAAGTTCTTTCTTCAATAATTAATTAACCTTAGCTAACTGTATGTAGCATTTTAATTTTTAAATACTGTAAAACTTTTAGTTTTTTTCTGATAACAACTTAGCTTAAAAAACAGATACAAATATTTTCTTTATATCCTTATTCTATGTTTTCTATTCTTCATTTTTTTTTTTTTACTTTTTAAACTTTACTGTTAAAAACTAAGACTCAAACACACATATTAGCCTAGGTCTACACAGAGTCGGGATCATCAATAATACTCTCTTCCACCTCTACACTCTGTCCCACTGGAAGGTCTTTAGCAGCGATAACATTCACAGAGCTGTCATCACCTATGGTAACAATGCCTTCTCCTGAAATACCTCCCGAAGGACCTACATCAGGCTGTTGTACAGTTAACTTTATTCTCATATAATGATAAAAAATATAGTAAATATATAAACCAGGAATATAGTAATTTACTATTATCAAGTATTATGTCATTTTATGTGCTATGCTTTTATATGACTGGCAGTGCAGTACGTATGTTTACACCAGCATCACCACAAGCACGTAAGTAATGTATTACATTACATCATGACATCTATAATGTCATTAGGCAATAGGAATTTTTCAGCTCCATAATCTTATGGGACCACTGTCACATATGTGGTTTGTCATCGACCAAAACAACATTATGCAGTGCATGATTGTACATGCTAATTGATCTTGAGCATCAGTACGAGGATAACCATCTCAAAGCACAATTCTAACTCTGAGTCAACGAATTCTCTTCAGAAATAAACACACAAGCAAAACTGACTGCTTGGTAATGCTTACTTTAAGATTCAATAATCTGTTTCAAATTCCTGAAAATTTACAAAATGGTTATGCAACATACTTTGCATTCTCTTCTCCTGTTCTTGGTGGAATGAACTGTCTAAGGATACAATTAAGAGAACAGATAACCTCCACTCTGAGTATCCCACCTAAGATGCCCTCTACAGTTAACTCCCATGCAGGTGTTCAGACGATGCAACAAGAAGCAATATCTTATATCAGATGATTCTGCAATCATGAATATAGTCATTTTTTTATGTGGCAATTATTCCAGACATGCGGAAAAGACCAAAATTTTCCTGCCTAGCAGCCATTAAACCCCAAGATGGTAAGCATCCTCCTATTGTAGAAAGGCTAGATAATTCATGTCATGAAGTGGTCAAAATACAAGATTTCATATTATTTCACTCAATCTTTGTTGCTACATCCTAAAGAATAGGGTTTTCTGAGTTATAGAAGATATTCAAAATCAGAAATGATGATTTTAAAAAGTTACCTTCCTTTATCAAATTATTTGGTTGCAGATTTTTAAAACTAAATTCAAATATAATTGAAAAAAACTGACTGCATTTTCCTTTTTTTCTCTAACTTAATAATGCTAAATTAAACTAAATTTGGGCTGGGGATGCTTCTGTACTTTTTAAGTCTTTATTAAGAAACTGCAACTTAATTTAGTATATAACCTAACTGAAAGCCTTAATTAACTTTTGCATCAAATAGCTGCATCTCAGCCAATCACAAGTGGCCAACTAATTTGATCTTGTTCAAATAAAGCAAACTCTGAGCTGTAATCAATCAAGCTATCGCTGTACCTCACTTCCACTTTTGCCTATAAATGCTGCCACCTCCTGATTTGAAGCAAGCCCTCTGAACCTCTTCTGATTCTGAGGACTGCCCAATTTGGGAATCGTTCTTTGCTCTAATAAACTCTGCTAAATTAAGTTTGCCTTAAGTTCTTATTTTAACAACAGTAAAAATCAGCATCATGAGATTTTGCACCTTACCAGAAAACCAGATGAATTATCCAGCAGACACCTTAGTCGGCATATGAAACACCTCTCCATAAAAGAAGAGTTTTCTGGAGGAAGCTGGTCTGAGTTATAACAGACTCCTGGCTGTGGGGGACCATGAGCTTCTGTAGAAATAAAAGCAACATCAATTTTGCCTTCCATTTTGATGTAAAATTATCTGAAATTCAGGAAAAATTTGTGTTAATTTCTAAACTGGAGACTGTATTCTAAATACAAAAAAAAGCCTTTCAGAAGAGCTAATAAAAAGAAACTAAAAACTCACTGAATATCACTCTTACAATAGAGAACTTAAGTTGTTTATATTTTTACTGAGCTATTGGTGTTAACAATTTCCATAGCTTCTAATGCATTTTCTTTCCACACTTTCAGATTTCTACAAATAATTTTTGCACTGAGAAAAGTTTTTTTATACTTGCATATGCTAGTTTACTTTTTTTAAAAAGCATTTTAAACAGAGCAACGCACTCTAGGTTCAACCTTGTACACGTCTTCCATCTGAAGGTGGTACCTGTTATTTGTATAAATGTTACTGAGCATGGCAACACTCTGTTGCTTGAAATTCATCAATGGCTCTCATCTGCCAACACAGTCCTTAGCTCATCATGCTCTTTGTGAACAAGTTCTGGCCTGTGGCTACAGGCCTCCATCTTTCCTACCTTCCCTACCTTCACCACAGAGTTTTATACCCCTACATGTTCCCAGCCTCCTTTCACTGAACCATATTAGAAAACCCCAACAGTATCTTTTGTACCATCAATTCTTTGTCCAAAGTCTGTACACTGCGGAGGGTTTAGTGCCCAGTGTAGCTGACGCTGAAATTCAGCTCGGTCTTCGGTATGGATAAGTTCATATACACTCTGATGGATGACATCAGACTACAGAAAAAAGACATAAGGAGATACAAAAAAAGTATTGATTTAAAGTAATTATTATTTATTTTTTTAAGAGTGCACAACTTTATGGGAATTATTCCAGCAGGTCAGAAACAGTGAATTAGAATTCTCATTATATTTCTTTTTTTTTTTTAATATGGAGTTTTTTTAAATTTCACATAGTGGGACAGAAGATATCTTTGTATCCCTTGGAACTTTTTCTTTTTAAAAAAACTTTTTATTTTAAAGATGTGGGGTACAATTCAGGGTTAAGTATACAAATGTTCATTATGCAGGTTCCCTTGTTGATGAGGTGTGCCCTCCCACCCCTGGCAGAATCCCAGTACTGCCAAGTAATTTTAAAGCTTATCTAGTTTAGTGGGTGCTTGCTAGTGTGATGAATACAAATCAAGGGACTGCTAAAGTGCCCCAGTCGCCCAAGATAGTAAAAGCTAGAGTGACTGGCACCACAGCTCACAAGTCATAAGTCACTTGTCATCACTTCCCAGCACGAATGCTCTTGCTCAGTCAGTAAGTCACCTCCCCACTCCTGCCATGCAACATATTAAGATCTGCTTATGTTCCTTTCTATTTATTAAACTTCTGAATCTCACCTCATTCATGAATCCTACGCTATCCACCCAGGTTTCTTTGATTTCTCTAAGCTTAATAGTATTCATTACGTATTTCCTTCACTGTTCTCTAAAGTTCTTTGTGTTAAATTCCCCTCCAAGTAGACTACACAAGAGTAAGAACTGTGCCTTGACCATAGCAGAATCCCTCCCCTCCTCTGGCCTCTCAGCATTTACTACAGTGCTGGGCCCTTAGTGTTTCAACCAGAGTTTTTCTCACTTTTTTTTTCTTTTAACTGCAACTCATGGTAAGAAACACATTTTCCATCGTTCACATGTATGTGCACACAGACACATATAGACACGGAACAAGTTCCAAAAAACACTTAACATCCTTATGTGAGATGATATTATGTATTCTACTTTTATACTATCCTAAGCAACTGGAAAAATGTTTGATGGTGATCCACTGTATCAATTGCATGCCCACATCGGTCACAATTTGCATTTTTAAAAATGGTGCCTTAATCTGTCACTCTTGTCTGATAAAAATGTTTTATTAAAAAATATCAAGCCGGGCTTGGTGGCTCAGCCTGTAATCCCGCGCCTTTGGGAGGCTGAGGTGAGTGGATTGCCTGAGCTCGCGGGTTCGAGACCCACTTGGGCAGCAAGACCTCATCTCTACAATAAATCAAAAAATCAGCTGGGCGTGGTAGCGTGTGCCTGTAATTCCAGCTACTTGGAAGGCTGAGGCGGAAGGATCGCTGGAGCCCAGCAGGCGAAGTGAAGTGAAGTGAAGTGGCCACTGCACTCCAGTCTGGGTGACCGAGTGAGACTCCAACTCAAAAAAAATATATATATATATATCAGGCAACCCTCTCAGGTTCCCGTCCACTGTGTGAGTTTTTCTGTCCTCTCAGTAAATCCTGCTGTCTCACTTTCTAGCTGTCCATGTCTCTCATTCTTCCTGGGCACAAGACAAGGAAAAAAAAAAAAATCCATGTGTATATGTGAGAAACAAACAGTTTAGAAAATGGCTAATCTCTTTGATTTTCTTAACTGATATAAAGCACAATATCACATTATGATTATGATAGTATGTAATTCATCAGGTTTCAAACGGGGCTTTTCTATGGACATTAACATATTTTCTTTAAAATACAAAAAACACAAGTTTAGGACTTGTGGCTGTAGCCATATTCCATTACTTTAGTCATCTACACTTAAATCTCCCTAGGAACTTAATCATCTAGCATTAAATTATCACTATGTCACCCATTCCATAATTGCCAGAAGTTTCATGTAAAACACAAGTTAAGCATACACATTCCCTTTAAAAAGAACCTTAAATAGTTTCCATCAGGTATATAATAAAGTTGAAACTATAACCAATATAACAGTATTATACAGACTGCGTCATTTAGACCAGCAGCCTTGCGACCTCGTTAGAAATGCAAATTCCTGGGTCCCTACTGATTCAGAATATCTAGGAACAGGGCTGAGAGATTTGATCAAGTTTTGTCAAGTTCTTCAGGTGATTCTCACACACATTACAATTTGAAAGCCAGATATATAAGAATGGCAAGCAACCAAGTGTACTTACAATCTGTTTTCAAATCATACCAGATGTTGTTGACCTTCAGATATACCAAATACTTTACAGCTCCATTTACTCATCGTTCATTCAGTAGCAGTAAACAGGCCAGACACCTTTGTTTTCTTTAACGACTTTCAGTCTACTGCTTACACTACTTCTATATTCCCATATTCCTTCATCCACCCATCTGAAGCCTACACATTCTTTAGGTCAGCTTAAATACCGTTTCCTTTAGGATGTCTTCCACAGTCTACATAAATCCAAATTAAAGACCTGTACTTTTACACAGTACCTTTTTCATTTCATAGTTGTCATATGTCCTCTGCTTTCTGTAAGTTATTTGATAACAAATATTTTGTCTTCTCCCCTAAACCTTATCTGTCTGAAAGTTTCCTATTTTATTACTACCCCAAATTCCAGTACACTTCCCTTACTGGGCCTCCTCCTAGCAGCTGCAGAAAAATCCGCACAATTTGGACTCCACCCATGACTTCCCTCCGCCATAGAAGGTCCAACCCCCGTTTCCGCTCTACTCCACTCAAGCACTATAGTTGTAGCCAGAGTTTTTCTACTAATCTGATTCTACCCCCTCCTAGAAATAAATAAAATAATTCAAACTATCACACTATGTTTAGGAGCCATTACCACCCTCTTTACAGCAATCTGCGCTCTAACACAAAATGACATTAAAAAAATCGTCGCATTCTCCACCTCCAGTCAACTGGGCCTTATAATAGTAACTATCGGAATTAACCAACCCCACCTAGCATTTCTCCATATCTGTACTCACGCCTTCTTTAAAGCCATGCTCTTCATATGCTCAGGATCTATTATCCATAGCCTAAATGACGAACAAGATATTCGCAAAATAGGAGGCCTACTCATAACTTTACCCTTCACTTCCTCCTCATTACTTACTAGGAGTCTTGCTCTCACAGGCATTCCCTTCCTCACAGGCTTCTATTCTAAAGACCTAATCATCGAAGCCGCCAACACTTCATATACCAATGCCTGAGTCCTCTCTATTACACTACTTGCCACATCCTTAACAGCCGTCTACAGCACACGCATCATTTTCTTTGTACTCCTAGGTCAACCCCGCTTCCCAACTTCAATCTCCTACATATGAGATTCTGGATTCTTGAAAAATGAAAGAATAAACACAATAACAACAAATCACATAAACATTTACAGAAATTATAGTGCAGTAAATTATTATTAGAAAAATATACTAGCTACAAAAACATAATTTTTATTCTACAGTATATATACTTTAATTGATACTTTATATATACAAATGGTCAGCTGTATCCGTAAAGTATAAGATATATAAAAAAGTAGAAAGCTCATTTTCCAGAAAACAAACATTATTCTAAACTATATTAAAAAATACACTTACTTGCTGAAACCCTAGATAATCTTGTATAGTAGAAGAAGCATAAAAGACCAAAGCATCTGTAGTGACAACCAATACAAAGCCATTTAGAGCCTACAAGAAAAAAAGTTATAAAATTAGTAAGATGATTTAATAGTCTTACTCATAAATACTTACTGTGAGATAAAGGATGTTACTTTTGTTTCTGAAAAATTTCCTCTTCAAAATAGTGAAAATTATTACATCTCACGAACACAGACACATAACACACTCCTGGAGTGAAAAACAGCTCAATCTAATGCTCAATCATGAAAACTTCAGCACAACACTAATTTCTTCTTCCTCTGCTTCAGGTTTTCTCTTTTAAGTATATTGCACCAATGTTTTTTTAAACATAAACTGTATAGACATCATCCACTATAATCTGTCACTGCTTTTTTAGAGGGAGACAGTGAGCAAAGATGTTGATTAGCTCCTTAAAGAGAGAACTCTGTAGGAGAAACTTTTTTTTGGGCAAAGGCATTTCAAGCACTGATGTACTTTAAAATTTGGATACTCTCAAAGAATTATAAGACTTTTAAAGACTTTAATAGGAAAACAATATACATATAATATACATGTAATTAAAATATAATACACATGAAATAAGTATATAGCAAATTTAGTCTATTAAAACAAAGTAATTACTAATATATGTATGTTTAAGTCTATCATTTTACATGTGTTATTTCTGAGTTCATAGTACATCTGAACTGTTTCTTTTTCCCTCCTTCTTTTCCTGCTTTTGGCCAATTATTTTTTCTTATCCCATATTCTTTAATTTGGAAGTTATATTCTCTTTTTCTATTCTTCTAGTGGTTATTCAAGTCTAAGTGCTAATTAATACCTTTATTCTCTTCTTGGAAAACAAGTACCTTATATCAATTTAAGTTTATTATCATATAGTTTAATTCTATAAGCCCTTACTATTTTTGGCTTGAGTTCAGTTTGGTACTTAATCTGTTCTTTATATGTGATTGTGGCTAAACCTTTCTGACGTCTTTTTTTTATGCAAAGGAAGACACTGTATGGTTTAGTCTAACAATCATACAGTGTGGGGTCTGACACATTTGGACTGGATGTCTATTTCTGTCTCTTATTAGCTGTGTCCTATGGTTATTGACCCCTTCAAGCTTTAGAGTGATCACTTCAAAAACTGGCACTCTATTGTATCGATATGATGACTATATCTCATCTAACTCTGCCTGGCAGAGTTGGCACTCAATTAATGTAAGGTGCAATATTAAAGTTATGGAAATGAGCAAGTAAAGAGTTACGTGAGCATGCTTTGAGAACTATAAAGAGCTACATAAATAAGAGTAATTAATTTAACCAATACTTAAAATATTACATACCAAAGAGTGTATATGCTAGGTACTGGCATTCAAGAGTTAACAAGACTTTGCCCCCATGCTTATGATGCTAACACAGTATAGTAAAGATACTATCAGATGACACAAAAGAAACACAGCGATATCAGATGACACAAAAGAAACACAGCAACTATCCTTCTTTCCACTCCAATGACTTTCGCCTTCACGACTCTTGATCTTTACTATACTTCTGAGAACTTGGTTACAAAGATAACACTTGTTATTTAGTAGTCCTTTTTCTAAATGTGTTTACATATTCAAGTGGTTTATTTTTCCCCACAACCCACTGAGGTATGTGCCATATTCCAGTTTTATAATGGAAAAAAGATCATCTCTTTAAAAGTAACTTGCTCAAGGTCACACTGTTAGAAAAAAACTGAGTCAGGAGGTAGTCTTTTTCCAAAGTCTACCTGCTTAATTATCAAGATATGCTGCCTTTATTAGATATTGATCACAGATTGGTATACAATTCTAACTTTTCAACCACACAACTCGGCTCCTAGGTTCTTGATTGCAGAGATTATATATAATACCATTTTCCTCAGGTTAAAGACTGGTGATTATACCCACTGGAAACTTGAATATTGAAGGATGACCACTTTTTTTTTTTTTTTTGAGTTGGAATCTCACTCTGTCGCCCAGACTGGAGTGCAGTGGCCACTCCTGGTCACCGCAGCCTCGACCTGCTGGGCTCCGGCGATCCTTCCACATCAGCCTTCCAAGTAGCCGGAATTACAGGAATGCGCTACCACGCCCAGCTGATTTTTTGACTTATTGTAGAAATGAGGTCTCGCTGCCCAGGTGGGTCTCGAACCCGCGGGTTCAGGCAATCCACTCACCTCAGCCTCCCAAAGGCGCGGGATTACAGGCTGAGCCACCGAGCCAGGATTAACATTTTCAAAACTGAATATCCTTAAATCCTCATGGCAATAACAGTATACATCCATCACTGTATTGTTTCATCCCCGAAAATATCCTCTCTCTAGAGAAGACTATTCATTGATCACATCCATATTATTTTGTAACACATCATACTTTTTCAAACAGCAAAATGAATTTGGTACATTCTAACAGACTCACTGGTGCATACCAGAAGACAGGAGCATAGTTTAAGGCATAATATCAAATCCCTTTAGACAAATGTTAATTGTCAGAAATAAAATAAAAATCTAAAGAAAAAGGTGCATATCAATTTTTTATATATCTCCAATGATCTTAAATACCAGAAAGAACAATATTATTACTTATACTGAATTACTATCTTAGCAAATTAACAGAAGGAATATGCTAATTATATTAATGAAAGAAATTATCATTATTTTAGTCTCAGTCACAAGGATTGCTCAACCTATTTGAAAAGTATGTCGAGTTCACTTGCTATTTGAAACTAGAGAAGTAAACTGCAATTGATTCTGTTACACATAACTGCAACTGTTTTTACTGAAAACAAAGCTGCATGATTATAATAAGTACACAGACAGATTTTGTTTTAAATGTATGAAATAAACAGGTGAAGTAAATAATAGATAATGAGAAGATGCAGTAATAAATATAAGCTAATCTAGAAAATAAAACATTTTAAATGTTTGTAAATAAAAATTTTTGTAACATTTTCTTTACCTGCCCTTGTGAAGCAAATGAAAAGATATCTCCTCAAAAGTTTCAGGCCATATGGTATACAGAACATCTGGTAACATACTCCACATTTTAGTGGTAATTGGCTGATAAGTGCAGGTTGAAAATAGAAAGTCAGATGCCATTATGACACCTATATATAATGAAATAGCCACTTTCACATGTCTATAATGTTTTCAGTCATCTTCTTCATAGAGAGATAACACACAAGCACAATCCTAAGAAAATCATATAGTATGTGATGCTTCCTTTTAGAGAGTAGTCTACAAATGGTAACCAATAAAAATAGGTTTATTTTAACTACCTAAAGATTATCAATTTAAAGATAATTTAAAATATATTTAACTATAGTTTTGCATTAGTATTACTTGAATACATTCAATTTCTTTAACATAAGTTAATTTTTAACTTTTGCTAACAGGAATTTGATCATGATTATAGAATTTTAAAAAATGTTATAAATTATTAGGTTACACTCCAGCATTCACTGAATGAAAAACTTATGGCTACTTTTTGTCATAATGATTGGTAAACTAAGTTTTTCTAGTCAGTTCAACAGATGGGACTGAAAATGATCACATAATGGTGATAGCACATATTAAAATACACATTTTCGTTCTATCTTTCTTCAGTAAAATAAGAACCTGAGAATTTTAAGTGACAATCAAGCATGGCATTAATGCTAATAAATAAATAAAAAGAAAAGAAAGACTGAAAATGCTTTAATAGACACAGGTGTTAGAAATTCTCCAAGTTCTAAAGCATAAAACTAGGGCTAACAGTTATTGAAAAAAATCCATAGCATGTTAATAAGTCACAATCAGCTGCTAAAATAAAATATAAGTGATAAAACACTGAGAAAATGAATAAAGTTTAGGTTGAGAATTTATTTAATTTTAATTTATTAAATAACTGCAATAACTATTTTAAGAGGTACATTCCTTACAACCTATATGTAAATCCAACATCTTTATTTTTTTTTTTGAGTTGGAGTCTCACTCTGTTGCCCAGACTGGAGTGTAGTGGCCACTCCTGGCCACTGCAGCCTTTACCTGCTGGGCTCTGGTGATCCTTCCACCTCAGCCTTCCAAGTAGCTGGAACTACAGGCGCGCTACCATGCCTGGCTAATTTTTGATTTATTGTAGAGATGAGGTCTCACCAAGTTGCTCAGGCAGGTCTCGAACCCACGGGCTCAGGCAATCCACTCACCTCAGCCTCCCAAAGGCGCGAGATTACAGGCTGAGCCATTGAGCCTGGCAAATTCAACATCTTAATGAAAATCTTTAAAATAATCTAGGAGTTCTAGTTTGAAGTACTACAATAAGGAGGGTGATAATCAGATCTCTAATTAACTGACTTCATATATGCAGTCATGCCTTGCTTAATGACAGGGATAACAATCTGAGAAACATGTGGTTAGGAGATTTCGTCATCATGCAAACATCACAGGGCGTACTAATGCAAACCTAGATGGTGTGGCTGACTGCTCTTAAGTTACAAACCTGTACGGCATGCTGTACTATGGACAATTGCCATACAATGGCAATATTTATTTGTGTAACTAAACATGTCTAAACATAGAAAAGATACAGTAAAAATATGGCATTATAATCTTATGAGACTGCTGTTGTACATATGGCCTAATGTTGACGAAAAAGTCATTGTGCAGCACAATTCAATTACAGTTATTCCACCACTGCAGTGCAGAAGAAATTGGCAGGAAACACTGAGTAAATCCGAAATAAACTGGGAATATTAAAATACTTATTACTTTTCCATTCACAGTTGTCTTATTATAAGGGACTACATTTACTAAAATTTACCTGCAATAAGAATTCTCCTTCTTGTAAGTTCAGGCCTTCTTTGAAATTTGCTACACAGTTATCCTGGCTTCCATTTCTGTCAGTAGGGGAGGATTTTAAAGCAACTATGGAAAAAAAAAAAAAAGGAAAAAATAATCACGTATGTAGATTTTAAAATAATAATAAAAAGATATTAGAAAACATCAGAACACTAAACAAATAGACAATTTGAAATATGAGCATTTACTGGTACTATAATGGTTAGGTAAATAATGCTTTTGTTAATGGGTAGCTTCTTATTCTATGCTAATAACAAAATTGAATGATCTAATCAAGCTGCCAGCTGACAGATCATTAAAAATAATTTTTGACGAGTTCATGGTATAATTTTTGCCACATAACTCAGAAGTTTTAACGAACTGCATGACACTGCTATAAATACAATCCATTCCTATTTACTTAAGAGACTAAGATTCCTCAGAATGTAACCTACAAAAATTATTTTTTCATATATATACATATATATGTATACACACACGAGTATATTTATCTAAATACCAGGGAACTAGTGGTGGTGAGGAGAAAGAATCAACTACACCTGTTTTTTTTTTTTTTTTTTTTTGAGTTGGAGTCTCACTCTTGCCCAGACTGGAGTGCAGTGGCCGCTCCCAGCCACCGCAGCCTTGACCCGCTGGGCTCCGGCGATCCTTCCGTCTCAGCCTTCCAAGTAGCCGGAATTACAGGTATGCGCTACCACGCCCGGCTGATTTTTTGATTTATTGTAGAGATGAGGTCTTGCTGCCCAGGTGGGTCTCGAACCCGCGGGCTCAGGCAATCCACTCACCTCAGCCTCCCAAAGGCGCGGGATTACAGGCTGAGCCACCGAGCCCGGCTAACTATACACCTTATTAAGGGATGTATTTCCAGTAGGTTTAGAGTCTTCTTGTCTAGCTTTTGGACTGAAAGGAGATGCCTATAGAAACCTAGAAGAAACTTAGCTTAGGCAAATCTCCCTCAAATGCAAGACTAGAGGACAGCCCAACCTTTCAATTCATGGTTTAACATAATAATCTCTAGTAAACTTTTAGGTTTCCTTGTCAAGGCTGAAGGTCAAAGACCACCCCTTGGCTGGTCAAAGCTATAGTAATGATAATAAAATCACCTTTGGTCAAGGAGTTTGCAGATTGCAAATATCTAACAAGTCTCTTGCAGGAGAACCCCCTGCCCTAGTCTCCTCTCATCTAGCCCAACACCCGAGAGCAGGAGATAATAATGTCCAGGGACCTTAAGATCTAAAAGTCCTGTGACTACAATCAACATCAAAGACCTGCAGTCCTGAACACGCCTTTGAGCCAAAATCCCCCTACCCAAATATACCCATTTTGTGGCCCTTCGAGGCCACACTTGCCTCTCAGTGTCGGTCCCTTTTCCAATCTGTAAAAGGTGAAAAATAAACTTTACTTCTTTCTACTTTCTTACTTGGTTGCAATCTTGCATTATTCTCGCTGCCCAGGCACCAGCTCCAGATGACCCTTTCATGGGTAAAAACTGCCAATATTGCTTGTTATTAGGTTCATCTTCAATTTATAAATCATCTCATGGAGCAATAATATCTATATGATGTTGAATCTTTCTACCCAAGAACATAAAATGATTTTCCATTGTATAAGTCTTCACTTTGTCCTGCTACAGTGTCTTAAAGTTGTACACAAAAAAAGATGTACACTATTATTTTTACGTTCATTCTTAGGTATTACATCTTGTAAATGGCTTCCTCTTCACTATAGCTTCTAACTACTTATGGATTATATATATGAAGGAAAGTCTCATGGCATTATGGAATGTTTACTACTGGAGCAGCATGTTGTAATGCTCTTCTGGGTTTTTCCCCTCCTCATCCATGTGTGTTTGTGTGTGTGTGTTTCTAGTGTGGGAGGTGGCATAGATGCATAGAAATAATAATCGCCACCACTTACTTTAGCATTTTGCCAAGCACTTTCAAGTATTATCTCATTTAACAGCATGTGGACATTAACAGCATCTGACAGAATTGGGTTCAAATCTTAGTTGTGCTATTTATGAAAAGTATGAGCTCTTTGAACCTGCCTCTTAATATGTGAGGTGGTAATTAAAAAATAAATAAAGCCCATCTGCAGGGTTGTTATGAACAATCATGAGTATATCTAAAGTTCCTGACATACAGCCAAATTAATAGTATTTCAATAAATGGTAGTTCTACTGATTAGAAATATCTCTCATGGCTTTTGGATTGCCTTGTTATAAAAATATAATCTTTTAGATACTTCTCATTTTTATCTTTCCATTTTTTCTGATCTCTTTTAAACTTGTGATCTTTAAATAAAAGCACTAAGTAAAAGTGACTCTGGCAGTCCTTTTAAGATTTATTTCATTATATTTTTATGTGCCAAAATAATCTGGGTCAGTGAAACACTGGAGATTTACTTATAAACAAACTTTCTCTCAGGTGGAGCAAAGTTTCACATAAAAAACATGTTTACAGTGTTTCATGTCTGCACTATAATTTCTGGTAAATCAACAGTGCATATGTCAGACCAGTCTTATGCCAAGTTTTTGCCTTAGCAGAAGTTAAAACCTATCTCTTTGGATGAAAAGGCCAAAGTGTGGCCTCTGAATACAACAATTTGAAAAGGCCAGAGAACAGATTTCCTTAGGCCAAAAAATAGTTTGAGGTAAATTGATCTAACAGTTAATCAAGACCAAAGGAAATGCTTAATCTGTGGAGAGAGAATGGTAGAATGGCCTTTCTCCCTTTCTATTCTGTAAGTTGTGTTGTTGTTGCTTGCTTTCTAATTTCCAAACTTGCTTGACTGAACTAAAATTGTACAATGTCAGAGTTAACTATACTCTGTCACTTTTCCAAAAGCTCCAATATTAGGCACAATTTAAGAGTTTTACCAAATATCAATTAGATTGTTTTTTAAAAGAAAACATTACAACCAAAACCCTCACCTTATAAAATAAGCAAAATGAGTCTAAAATGGACAGATAACAGCTGTCCAATTAAAAATATCCAAATTATCATTAAAAGTCTCTTAAAATATGTAATCAATGGAATTAAGATTAGTTCCAGCTAGAGTCACTGGTAGGAGGAAAACACAAAATTTAATAATGACTTGGCCACCAAAAAGTTGAATAAAAAATGAAAGAGACCATTTTTACTCATCTCAGAGTAATCATCTCAATTACTCATCTCAGAGTAATTTATGATTTGTTCTTGGGCTTGTTCTAGGGTATTTGGCCAATGTAAGTAGACTTTGGATTGTGCCTTTAAGTAGGGCATATAAGCTACAGAAATTAGGAACTAAAAAACAATGTCAAAAATACTAAGTGCCAGAATAGGCTTTAAATAAAGTATTACAGGAACTTGAAGTAGAAAAAAATAAAAAGAACAAATTCTTCCTAAACAACAGAGCTTATAATTCTGAATGCTGGAAGGATAATATTTATTATGTATAACTACTGCTTAAGTAGGAAATATGACAAATGCATTTGGGGGAATGATTACTAGAGTTCTACCAAAAACAAGCAAGCAAATATTTCTGTTGGTCTCATCAGTAAAGCATTTAAGTAAATACTAAACAAAGCTGAGTCCAGGAAGGATACACTCCCTTTCTGGTGTTATCTACAAAATGCTATTAGGTGTTTTCATTTTTTTTATTTTTAGTTTTTAGAGTCAGGATCTTGCCCTGTCATCCAGACTAGAGTAGAGTGTCATGATCACGGTTTACTGCCTTTTTAGAAAACTAATTTTATATCATGACCTCTCGACCTAGACTATGTAGTTTTTACCCTTGCATGAGGTTTTTCCTCTATTACTTGATCTCCTACCAACTTCTAACTTCCTCAAATCACTAGAAGCTATATCAATTAATACTACTCCTTTTTGTGTACATATGGCTTACCCTGATTAGAAAGAAAGCAAAGGAAGAATAAGAAAGTGATATGGGATACTGTCAAAATAACTGCTTTTGACCATTTGAGTGGCCTTAAATAAATTACTTGCTAATAATAAAGGATATTGAGCACATACTGTGTGCCTAGTACGTTCCATGTATTATATCTTATTGAATTTTCATAATAGTTCTATGAGACTAACATTGTTGTTCTTTCAACATATTAAGAAATTGAGACTTAGGAAGGTTAGGAACTTTTCCCAGGATCACAGATTTAAGTGGTAGAGCCTAGATAAAAACCTCATGACTCCTGTGTATGAGCTATTATTAATCACTCTCCTCTCTGCTAACTGCCTTTGATCTTTAGTTTCCTCTTTTTATATGAGAACAACACTACATCGTATAGAGTACTCGGAAAATGCCTGGACTGGATCATGGGCAGTCAAAGCAGAGATAATGAATTCTGTGCTGAGTTTATACATCCTCAAACCCTTATGGAAAACTTATTTGAAAGTCCAGTTGACTCTTGAACATCACAGATTGAATGGCACAGGTCCATTTATGTGCTTTGGCCACCCTTGAATCAGCAAGACCAGTCCTCCTCTTCCTCAGCCTACTCAACATGAAGACGATGAGGATGAAGACCTTTATGATGATCCACTTCCACTTAATGAGTAATGAATACATTTTCTCTTCCTTATGACTCCCTTAATATTTTTTCTCTAGCTCACTTTATTATAATAAGAATACAGTATATAATACATATACAAAGCACATGTTAATCAACTGTTTGTGTTACCTGGTAAGGCTTCTGGTCAACAGTACCTATTAGTAGTTAAGTTTGGGGAGTCAAAAGTTGCACTCTGACTTTTGACTGCTTGGGGGTCAGTGCTGCTAACTCTATGTTGTTCAAGGGTCAACTGTACGTCAAAACTGTAAATTGTTATGTTAATAATACACATGATCAGATGTATGGGATACTTTAAACATTACACCATTGGAATTAAATATATGATAGTTCATAGAAAGAAAATGCAACATGTAAAAATAAGTCACCAGCAGATTCAGCTACTAGGGAAGCATTTGCTATACTTTAACAGATATTTGTTAAAATCCTCCCCATGGGTTATGCACCAACTTCCAAAGTGTGAGAATCTGACTTTGAACATTTAGTGGAATATTAATATAGT